TTTTTTTTGGTTAAAAAAAAAAAAAAAAAAACTAGAAATAGAAGTTAACTTTCTTATTCTAATACAGAGCATCTACAAAATCAACCCCTCATCTTACATTATATTTAATAATAAAAGATTGAATTCATTCCCTTTATACTGTTTTATAGATGAAAACACCATTGCAGTATTTTGCATTCTACCATCCACAATCAGTAACAAAGTAAAGATGTTAGTTTGCACCATGCTGTTCACATTTTTAAGTTAAAGCCAATGCAGTAAATTTTTTAAATAATTAGTTAAAGGCATAGAGAATAGAAAGGCAACAACTGTCTTAATTTGCAGCTTAAAATGATCTTTTCATAGAAAATCCAAAAGAATCTACCAAAAAAGCTACTAGAACTAATAAGCAAGTTTAGCAAGGTCACACGATTACAAAGATACAGGATAAGAATTACNTCCCATAACTCAAGGTAACCGCTTAGTGGACAAAACGGCACGATTGGTTGCCACAGAGGGCCGTGACACCCCAGATACAGCACTCCTTCCTCTCCTACCAGAAACCACAGACAACCCTGCTCCAACACCAGATAATAAATCTTCTCTTTTCCATCTTCTTCATGATCTATTCCATTCAAACCCTCAAAGTTTAATGCTCTTCATCCAAACCTTCTTTCCTCTAACCCCAGCCGATAAAACTCTCTTACAAAAAATCGCAATTGCTCCATCTGCCAACGTACCAACCCTAACACTCCCTTAAAAGCCAAACCGTATCCCTCACATCAAGCTAGGGGTAATATCCCTGCCGCAGACCGGCAGATCGATTTCACCCACGTGCCTCCTGTTAAACGTCAGCAATATCTCCTAGTAATGGTAAATACCTTTTCCGGGCAGATAGAGGCCTTCCCCACCACTAACAAGAGGGCCACCACTGTGGCTTCCATACTCCTCTCCCAGATTATCCCAAGGTTTGGAATGTCCTCTTCCATACAAACGAACAACGGCCCAGAGTTCACTGCTCAAATAATACAAAATTTATCTCGAGCTCTCTCCCTCCCTTGGCATTTACACTGTCCTTACCGGCCCCAGGCCTCAGGAAAAGTTGAGTGCGCTAACAGGGCTCTGAAAGACATCCTTACTAAACTTTCTCTAGAACTTCACC